TAGATTGGCTTACTGTCAGTTTTAGAATCACGAAAACTGGTTTTTAGAAGCGCCTTCTTTTAGAACTGCTTCACAGTACAAGAGCTGCTTTATAAGACGAAACACCCAGTCTATGGAAAGGCTTTTTTCCCTTGAATGACGGTCCGGAAGTGTTACAAGAATTTATTTTTACTCCCTGAGTTCTTCTATAAAGAGTTTAATCGATTCGATTTTGGGGCTAGCTCAAAGTGATGTGACATTTTTTTAGCAGACAAATGATTAATCATATTCAGCTCGTGTCCTCCTTCACACAAATAGAGAGTCCAATGACAGCTTATTTGTCCAGTGATATTTATTATTTAACTCACTAAAATTTTAAAGCTAACACAGCGTCACTTGCAAACACGTTTTAGAATATTTTCAGCCTCAATATTGAGGTTAGATATTGTGGTGACCCTGTTACGTCTGTGGTTTTTCCCTTTCGTTTATATAAATACTGTATTGTGTAGCATGGTGTTTCTAATCAAAGTAACTCCACATTTTTTCAGCAGACAAATCTTTTATCATGTTCATTACGTGACTACAAAACAGGCATTCACAGAACACGCCTTCCGCTTACGTAACAACTTATCCAATATAACGCGAGACAGTGTCACTTGTAAGCAGCTGTTAGGATGTTTTCAGTCTCAGATCGACATTAGACTCTGTTTTTTCGGTGGTTTTTCTCTTTCCTCTATTGTGTAGTACACTGTTTCCGTGTAGAATGAGTAAAAGAGGCTCTGTACATTGCTTCCTTAAAGGACGTTTTAGTATTAATACAGATTAATTAAATTTTAAGTAAGATTGATTCATTAGATTTAGCATTGAGGCGTCAAACGTGCATTTTAAACTTCGTATTTATTCACCTAAGTAAACAAAGCATAAGTCCCTAAGGCGTAAATTTAAGAAATAATTATACTTTTTAATACTCTTGCCCGTGTATTATTGATTTTCATTTGTTACAGCTTCACGCGAGGAACAAATTCCAGGCTAGTAAAAAATTCCTTTTTGATGTCGTTTCGTGAAAAAATGGTATTGCAATAACAAAATGCTACTTTAAGTATACCGACCTACATTATATCCACCTGAATTGTACTTTGTTCTTTAAGATCTCAGACAACATGGATTTTTCAGTGAGGTGCATAGTAATTGCCCTTGGAATTTTGACGGTTTCTGTGGAGGGATTTTATGGAGGTAAGTTACTAGCTCTAACACACCTACAGATTCATTGATAAACCAATCTCCACCGATTCCTGAAACCCTCGGTTTCTCGATCCTCACTGAAACAAGTTAGGAACATACCAGAGTCCGCTACAAACTGATTTATTTACCAGCTACCATAACAGAAGACAACCAAGATGGCGGACTGACCTATTTACACAGGAACGCCTGAACACGTGCCCGGATGGCACTTCGTGTACACTAACCTAAGGTATACTCGTTACATCTCCTTTCCTTAGTTTAACAGCAACAAAACAAACAAAATGTCTAACGAGAAATACTCTTGATCTATTAAGCAAAGGATCTTTGTAAAAAAGACGACAACAACAACAAAAACAAAAAAACAAAAAAAGATCTGTTCAAAGTAAAGGATCCTTCTAAAGCAAAGTCTTAGTGTCCACATTCGTAATCTTTTAACCAAGCTGGAGGCCGACGCTCACGCACTGGACGACTTGTTGTACATGGTTCAGGAACTTCCGCTGATACAGGCATTGTCGGCAGTGACACATTAGCTGAGCTCGATTCACCAGGTTCAGAAGGCTCTGTAAGGTCTTGGATTGTTACTGTGGGCTCTACTTCCTCAGGGGTTGCTCTGAGCCATTTGCGGTTGCGGCGGTAATGCTTTCCATTCACATCCACCCAAAAGGAACGAGGACCCTCTTCTCCAATGACACGTCCAAGCGACCATTCATTTTCACCAGGTAAACGCATTCTTACAGCATCGCCTTCATGCAATGTAGGCAGTTCATGGGAGTGCCGGTCATAATAGAACTTCTGTTTCTGCTTCCTAGACTTGATCTTTTCTGGCACATCAGAAATCACCTGTGGGACTAGCAACGACTTGGTAACTGGGAGACGGGTGCGTGTTCGTCGACCATACAGTAGCTGAGCGGGAGACGCATTCATGCCTTCAGATGGAGTGTTGCGCCATTCAAGTAACGCCAGCAAGGGGTCTCGTTTGTCAGCACGGGCTTTTATCAGCAGAGATTTGCAAGTCTTGACTGCATTTTCTGCACGGCCATTACTTTGTGGATGATAAGGACTCGAAGTAACATGACGAAAGTCCCATTCTGCACTGAAAGCCTTGAAATCTTCACTGTTAAATGGGGGTCCATTGTCAGTAATTAAGGTCATTGGGATTCCATGCCTGGAAAACCATGATTTCAAAACAGTAATCACACGAGTACTTGTAGTACTGTTCATATCTTGTACCTCAAAATATCCAGAATAATAGTCTACAGCTATTAAAAAGGACTGCCTTTCAAGTACAAACAAATCCACCCCTACCATTTCCCATGGTACGTCAGGGACATCATAGGGCTTTAGAGGCTCTTTACATTGTTCGGGCCGGTAACTTGCAAATTCCGCACTTTGATAAGTAATCTTTGAGCTGGGCTGTGATTCCAGGCCAATAGACAATATCGCGGGCCCGTCGCAATGTTCCCTCGATCCCAACATGCGATTCATGCAGGCTCTTAACAATGTTAGAGCGTTCTTTTGCAGGTATTACTAGACGATGACCCCTGTACACCAATCCATCATCAGTGGTCAGTTCATCCCTGCAGTTCCAGTATAATTCAATAACTTGTTTTTGACGCCTGTCAAATTCACGGGCTTGAGCCAAGGTCTCTGGCCAAC